GCAATGGAAGAAAGCAGAAATGAAGGAAACAGCTGGCCAAGTGGTTGGAACAACAAACGGGAATGACGATAGTAGTGGTGGTGATAGCGAGCGAGAATGATGATAGTAGTGGCGCAGCAGGCGTGAGACTACAGGATAGTCAAAAGAGGACTGTCTAGGAATTGCCACAGCAAGAAGGATGGCTAGACAACAAGGAACTACGGGAAAACAATAACGAGAATGTTGTTGGGGCGGTTGTAGCAAGGAGGAAGGTGTGGTAGCGAAGCGAGAGGGGTGCGAGAAAACGTAGGGAAGATATTCACCACCAAGAAATCAAGATACAGTCGAAACACCACTTGGAACCTTAGAACACAACTCTAGAGCATGTCCTCTCGGTGGATGTGAGAAACAATGAATTGGAGGACCGACTTGAGCTCGTGCAACAATTTTCAAGAACAATTACCTCCCTTGTTTTTTTCACCCAATTTCTTAAGTTGGATAATAATTTTCGGTGGCTAAGTAAGCTGGGATTACACCCACAGGAGAGATTTTTCTAGAGGCGTCTCATGCTCAATGCCATCCCAACAAACGCCTGGCTAGCAACCCATGGGCTTGGAGAGGACCAACATTGTCCTTGGGGCTGTCTGGAGGATGAAGATAGAGACCACATTGCAGTTAAGTGAAAATTGGTAGAGGCAATGCTGCAGCTTCTTCGAAATTGGGGGCTTGGTATTCCCTTCTTTAGCTCTTCTGACGAGGTGATTCAACAGCTTGTGTCACTTCATAAAGCTCTCTTCTCGTTGGCTCGTATTTATTGTCATGCCATCCATGAATGTTGGAGGGCTAGGAATGGCAAGAAAAATGGAAGGTTGTTTGCTGCTACTACTATTATGGCGGCCAATGTGCTTGAGGCCCTCACCAACAATCATATGTATTAAATTCTGGAGCACTAGGGAGCTCGCCAGTCTTCCCGACTATCTTCTCCCTCCTTATGGTGTGCCCCGCCCCCCTTCCGGGTTGGGTGAGGGAGAATGTTGATAATGTCATGCGGCATAATTATATGGCCGGTGATGGGGTTGTTTAGAGGAATGAAACTGGGGACCTTCTTTGTGCTATGGAACGACAATTGGGACAATGGTATGGTGGAGCTTGAGGCTATTCTCTCAATCCCAACCTTGGATGATCAAGACTCGAAGTATTATCATTGAAGGTGATAATGCTAATATTATTAACTTGATGCGCCGAACTATGGAGCAGCACAGTTGGAGGAACAATCCAAACCACTTCCAAGCTTTTTCTTTTCTCACTTCTTTTAGACAAATTTTGTTTCATTTTGTTCCTAGGAAACTCAATAGAACTATCCACTTTTATGCCCAAAGGGCTCTTATACATAGTTTTGCTTTTGATACGGTCCCTGAATCATCGGAGCTTTTGTTATTTTTCGTGATGATAGGGCCTCTTTTGCATAGATCTAAGGACTTGTTTTGTGTACCTTTTTGTACTCTTTTTTATGGTTAGTGCAATATGTACATGTTGAATTCAAATTTGTCCTGTGAGACATGCTTAAGAATTGGACTACTAGGGACCGTGAGAGTAAAAAAGAAAGAGAGAATAGAAAAGAAGTAAAATAACACACATAGACTTGCCCCATAGGAGCGAACAGGGATGTTCTCAGACTCTTCAACATTTTTTATATATCAGAAAATGTTACATTGATAAAGGGAGAGAGTTCTCTACATGAAAAAAGTCAAGTGAGAAGAGCCCCCCTTTTATATGTTATGAGCTTCGTATTTATGGGAGAAAGAGGGACCAGACTTAAAATTATATGTTTGCCTCAATTTTAATAGAGGAATATAAGTTATAAAATTTTTATTAATACGCCGCTTTAATATGAGAGTTACAAGCCTTTATGATGTTTTTTTATAGTAACAACTTTAATAATAAAGTTGCATATATTTATGATGCCTTTTTATAGTCTCCATGTTAATAGGAGAGTTAAGGGTCTTTATGGTGTCTTTTTATGACCATAATTGTTTTTTGGCTCTTTTTCGTCTTTTATCTTTTTATTTAGACCTTTAAATTGTCTCGATATTTGTCTAGTCCATTTTTTGGTGTATATAATAAGTTCACTGATTTTTTTGAATTGTCCCGACATTAGTCAAGTCTATTTTTTGGTGAACATAATAAGTTTACTGATTTTCTTGTTCCTTGATAGCGAAAGCTGCGATAAGGACAAAAAAAATATTTTAAGCAAAAAACATGATTGCATGAATCACAGATGATAATCCGTATTTAGGCACTCTCTGCACACTCTTTTAGCATCTCTTACGCTATCTCACAGGCTCAGAAATATTTTTTTTTGAATCGACTCTTTGATTGATGTTGTGTTGAAGTATTTACTTGCGTTGATTTGGTTGTCTGTGTTGACTGACGACCCGACTCTTGGAAAAATTCCTAGTTGTGATATCATTTAGCTCAAGTTTTAGTTTTCACCCATCCCATTTGCTGGGTCAAGCTGTTGATTGCTTGCTCATGCCAGAGTTTTTCGTTTGGAGTCTTTTGTTAGATCACCTCATATGGTTTTTTTTTGCTCGTTTTAGAGGGGAGTTTTTTCTTTGCTCGCCCCAAAGGAGATTCTTTTGTTTGCTCGGCCCGGAAAGATTTTTTTTTTGGCTCTCCGCAGAGGAGACTTTTTTTTTGTTCGCCCTGAAGGGGAGTTTTATGTTTGCTTTCCCCATAGGAGAGTTTTTTTCATTTTTTTTTTGCTCAACCCTGAGGGGGGTCTTTCGCTTGCTCTCTGTAGTGGATTTTTTTGTTTGCTCGCCCCGGATGAGTCTTTTTTGCTAGCACATAAGAGTAGTTTTTTCTTTTCTCTCCCTGGAAGAGAGTTTTTTATTTGCTCAACCCAGAGGGGAGTCTTTTTTTGCTAATTTTGTTTGCTCATCCCAAAAGGGAGAATTTTGTTTGCTCACCCAAAAGGGAAGTTTTTTTTTTTTTTGGCCCAGGAGTGTAGTATTTTGTTTGTTTGCCCTAGATGAGTTTTTTGTTTGTCCCTTAAAGAAATTTTCTTTTTTTTCCTTGCTCCCGAGAGAAATCTTCTGTTTGCTCGCCCCGAAAGGGAGACCTTTTTTTTTTGCACCTTGAATGAGACTTTTTTGTTGTTCACGCCTTATTCGCTCACTTGGAACCGAGTTCCTTGAGTGTCAATTGAACCTAAGACAACGTCAGAGAAATTTGTGTCATGGCACAAGATAAGTTGTGAAATAACACCTTTTTTTTTGCTGAATAAAGTGTCAGTGACTCGGAGTTGCTAAAGCGATGCGCAAGTATAGTCGATTGACTTGTTTTGACCGTTGGAAGCAGATAATCTGTTTAGCGGTACTCACCTCCAAGCCAAAACCTCTAATAAGACAATAGAAATGACGTTTCTGGCTCCAAATCTAACGCGCTCTCTGTTAGGAGTGTCTCTGAGATGTATTTCTCCTCGTTGGTATCGCTTTTCTTCTTGGTGGTGGCATGCTCCATCCTCATCGCACCTTTTAGGATGTTGAATCCAAATTATTCTGTGAGGCATGCCCAAGAATCGGAATAGGGATCGTGAGAGAGAAAAAGAAAGAAACAAAGAAGAGAAAATAAGTAAAATAACATGCAAAGACTTGCCTCATAGAAACAAACTGGGATCTTTCCAGACTCTTTGACCATTTTAAATATAAAAAATAGTTGTTACATTGAGAAGGGGAGAGAGTTCTCCCAACATGAGAAAAATCAAGAGAGATGAACCCACTTTTATATGCTATGAGCTTCCTATTTATAGGAGGGACCAAGTTTAAAATTGCATGCATGCCTCAACTTTAATGGAGGAATTACAAGTTATTATTATCTTTTTATTAATACACTGCTTTAATAGAAGAGTTATAAGTCTTTATGGTGTCTTTTTATAGTACAACTTTAATAAAAGAGTTACATGTATTTATGGTATCTTTTTATCGTCCCCGCTTTAATAAGAGAGTCACATGTCTTCATGGTGCCTTTTTATAGTCATAATTGATTTTTGACACTTTTCTGTCATCTATCTTTTTACTTTGACCTTTAAATTATCTTAAGATTGGTGCTCGGGTGTACAACACATTTCAAAGATACAACCCTCGGAGGGAGAAAACGGACAACAGGGGTTGTCCTCAGCAAAACACACCAAAATACTTCCTTTCAAACTCTAATATAACATATATCTAGGAAAATATTAAAAATAAATGAAGGATAATAAGCAAGAAAGCACAAGAAAAAAAAAAGGGTTATTTTGGCGCCTCTCCCACAATAGCTATTCTCATGGCATTGTAGCAGCTACAGTACCAACAGCTTCAATGCCGTGGAAATTTTGAACCGTAAGCTCCCGCGTCAGTTGACCTACTTCTTACTTCTGCATGCCATTCACATCAACCCAACATGCCATCTTTTCAGCTGTAAAAGCCGAAACAGACATAGTAAAGTCTACCATGGCCTCTGGATCTATAACCAAAATTATTAACTATAATAATTTCCCCTTGATCTTGTAGCAGAACATAAGCCAGGTAACGTAAATCAAATGAAGAAAAAAAAATCCCAAATGAAACAATTGCACGAATGTTTATAGAACATAACCCTAGGATCAAATGGAATGTCTAAACAAGATCAAAAAGTTAATTTCCTTTAAATTGCATATCGTAACCATCACTCGTATTATTTATGAATTCTAAGCTCCCACTTTGACATTTTGAAAAGAATTAAAAAAAAAGATATATTTCAAAGTGCAATTCTCGCACAAAATCACGAAATTATTTAATGTTTAATAAGAAAGAATAATTATATCATTCATTTCTGATTAAAACATGTAAAAGAACTAGAGGCGCAAAATTGTTTGTAGTATATTGGATATAAAATGCTCTCTTAGTTAAAGATAAGATTCTATGAACGTCAAGTTTATTAATAATTATTTTCAAAAGTAACCAAACAGATAATTTATTACACGATAATAAATATCATACCCACAACGCTCGGCACAGCTTTTAGATATAATTGTAGACTGTGCCCCACTGTCAACAAATGCCTGAAAGAGAACATAACAATGAACACTAGCAAAAAGTTAGACTTCCTAATATTATCATGTAATAACTTTGAACCAAAGACTCCATAGAAAGAAAAATATAACATGTGTAGAGAGCAGAATTAATCACAATCAGAACAAAAAGAAAAGAAGCAACAGTAATGGAGCTTAAATAAATGGAAAAGAGATAGACAACTAGTACGCAGTAGTATATGGTAAAAATAAATTGTCATCTTACCCCATAGGCATATAATGTGAAGGAAAAACTGGCCCGGGAAAGACACTTCAAATTCCTATACACAGTTCTCTTTTGATCTCATAGGTACGTGGCAAATGGTTGACATGTACAAAAGTAAATTTGTAAGGAAGTTTCATATTTAAAGGGTTCAGGCCTTGGGAACAGTAAAAAGTCATTCACCCTCCCTCCATAGAGAAAAAAAAGAAAATATTTCCCATTTTGTAATTGGGTATTAAGACATTTTTGTCCTTATGGAATGAGAAGTACTATACTAAGTTTGAAGTATGTAATAAGAAGAGATATATTAACATTCTAACTTGTAAATACATTAAAATGTAATATACTAACATCCTAATAAAGTAATAATAATAAATTATTTAAGAAGAGAACTTACATGTTAAATTAAAAAAAAAATAAATTAAAAAATAAGAATGGTTATCAGAACAAAAAAGAAAAACTTAAAAAACCAGAAAAATTTAAAATAAACTTGATACACTTATTTTCTATCCCGCTCCCCATTAAAGTAAAATTATAAGAAGCCACTAAGGTCAGATTTTTTCAATCCAAATGTCCCAATCACTTTATTACTCAATGAAAGCATAAAGATTCATTTCTCCCTCATTTTATCCTAACTTGTATCCAATGTTTTTTCATTCATTTTCCTAATCTTAAATCTCAATTATATTCCTCTTATTTAATCGATATTTATTAATAAGAAAATTTATTAGATTTTAAAATAATGACTATGTTAATGGTAACAACTTTAAGTGAATCATCGATTTTATATTATATGTGCAAGTAAAAAATATTTATTAGGATTTTTCACTTATATATATTTTAAATAAAACTTTATATCTAATTGGATAAACCTCATAAGAATTGAAGCAAAGTGTGGCTTCAAGAAGGCCTCACATTATGTGGGGCATTAGTCTCACGTAGTACCTATTAAGGCGTAAATATCATTGCAAATATTTAAAAAAAAACATCAAGGTAGATATCATATTGTGCAATTTTAAACAATGATATATATAGTATCTGGCAATGTATATAATATTTTCCTGAAATATGTAGATTATAGTTGCAGAACTAGAGATGAAAGCTACTTCAATAAGAACTTAAAGCTTAATATAAAAAAGCATGAAGTAGCCCGAGTCCTAAACTATTTAAGCTAATAACAAAGTCAATCCAAGGGCTCTCACTACGTGCACTCATATGATAAGCAATTTGCGCTTATTCAATTCTCTGAAAAAATAAGTGGAGCATCAAGCCGTGAGATCTCTACACGATTTTTGCAAATCATGGATGTTTGAATGCAGAGGTATCATGATTGAAGGAGATAACGTGAATATCATACAATTTTTATGTTCTACCATGAAGGATGTAATTTGGCAGCAACAACCACAAGAAGTGCAGGATTTTGCTTTTCTCTTAAACTTTAAGCAAGTTTTATTTTTCCATACACCCCACGAATGTAATAGACCACTCATTTTTTGGGTCAAGCGCGTGATTCTTTTGTTTTGATGCATGTCGATGATAATAGTGAAGTTTCTATTATACTTGTACATAATAGGTCTCTTTTTTGTACTTCATAGATGCACACATGCATAGTTTTTGTACGTATATTAATGCAAATGAAATATTTCACGAAAACATTGACATTCACTAGAGGAAATGGTGTATCAGCTTCACATGCTATTAAAATGATATATAACTTAGCTTGTTAAATTTGATAGGAAAAAAACTGACCTAAGCTCTATGCCTTGAAATCCATTCTCTATATCAAGAAATTCACTTCTTATAAAAGTCCATAAATACTCTACTTGAATCCAATCACACCTCGTTAACAGTCAATTGTAACCAAAAGAGTAGCATAAATAAGAGTTTCTTTCCAAGAACAATATTATTGACATCCAAAGTGAAGTTCAGTGAATCTAGAGTTTTTTTTTCTCGCCATATAGCTTCAGAGAACATGATTTGCACTTGTTTCTTATCTTACAACATTTCTATATTTTAAAACATGTAAAGTAAATCTTTTGTAACCTACTAGTGTCAGCCCAAGTAATTTGAGTGGACTTATTTTCATAATTACTCAAACCTTCGACAAACAAAATTACAAAAAGCAAGTGATGTAAAAGTAATTTTGAACCCTAGCATTCTTACATGAAATGTTGTGAACTTCTCATTTGCTCTAGAACCAATACCTTTATCATCTTTAATTCCCCATAACAAGCAAGGAATATTTTCTATACCTCAATAAGTATCAGTAAGTGATGTAAAAGTAATTTTGAACCCTAGCATTCTTACATGAAATGTTGTGAACTTGTCATTTGCTCTAGAACCAATACCTTTATCATCTTTAATTCCCCATAACAAGCAAGGAATATTTTCTATACCTCAATAAGTATCAGCCAGGTAACAGAAAGCCGCATATCATCCGCCTCTACTAAACTAACCACGGAAGTGTAATACGAAGTCTCGATAAGCTAGTCACTAACAGGAGGGGAAAGTGAAAATCTATGAAATCAAATATAGCCACTACAAACATAACATTTGTATATGTCAGCGATCAGCATTTGTTCTGCACATGTGAAGAGGTTCAAATAAATTTTGATGATGCTTTCTACCGGATAAAAACTATGTTTCACAATGCTCAGTGTTAAGAAATTCACCATATTATAGAAATACCTTTAAGGGTATGCCATTGACTTCCATATCCACATATAACATAACCTATAACAAAAACAACGGATCAAAAATAACAAAAATAGTGGCAATTACTTAAAAAGAAATAATAAAAGAAGGAAGTTACTTACAACACGAGCAAATGCTTCAGGATTATGCTCTAGTGCAGCCTCCATATTCTCATCAATGCCTCTCTGTACTTTAATGATAATAAGTGAGTTATATAAATTGCGAAAACTAGCCATGCAAAAAAACAAAATATATTAAACGATGGGATAAAATGAGCAAGTCTTCCTTTTAAATATGATTTTAATGTCAATAGACCATGCACCACTGGAATACAAGAAAAGTAATCTTCTATAGAAATCACATGGAATGTTTTATTTTCCTGCAGTTGATATGTATATGTATTTCTGGTAGCAGATAATGAAATATTCTAGAGTTAAGCAGAAATGTAAATCAGATGCGGACAAACCTGAAAGTTCATTCAGTTGAAGGGACCAAATGATGTGTCAAGTACATCACTATCACACTAAAAATACAGTGGCATAGATGGAAGAAGTAAAAATTTGTTTAGCAAGACCAATAGGGACAAATGCCAACAGCACCACACCCCTTAACACAATGAAAAACTTAATAATAAAGCTTCCGCCCACAATGGACAAAATAGGAAGTTCCATTATGCCATTCATCATTAAACCCAACAAATTCAAGTCTACTTTATGGTTCTTTCATGTCTATTGTTCAAATTTCTCATATACTCAACATTATTATCTTGTGAGCATGATAGTCTCGAGACTACTGAATGTTGTGATGGAAAGACAGCCAACTGTAAAATGCAATGCTGTACAAGAGTGAATCGATGACAAAAAATAAAACGTATAAACAAGTGCATCTTTCTAATATAATAGAAGTCTCATCCCCCATCATCACTACTAGATAAGAAAGCATGACTAGGACTAAAGTGGGCTCATTCAAATAGTCCAAGAAGCGTTTTAACCTTTTTTATTATCCTCAAAAAAATATTAAGAGCTTTGTTTTTCAACAACGAATTCCAAATTGTTTTTTAAAAATATCATTGAGAAATAGATGGATTTGGCATCTCATATAATGAATAGAAAATGTGGATTAAGATATTAAGAAAAAATCTTAGTATCTCGTAAGACTAGACACAAACTTTTGATGAATCAAATACTACACTCTTACTTAAAAAAAAATAATAATTAAGAAAAAGATCCCTTGGATAAGAGAAGTAAATAAAGCATCCATTACAAGTAAAACAGTAATGATCCCTAACAAACAATAGACTACAAAATAAAACATTAGTTGTAATACATGCTTAAAATTATAGAACTAACTTCAAAAGCAATAACTACAACCAATAGCACTATTGTGGTCAGATCCCTCCATCATTTAGCACATTGGCACCAACACATTCGGTGTATACTAGCAACCCTACACATATTTTGGAGCATAACGTGGCACATCCTATATGTTAGCTGGGGATGTTTTCCACTCTTCATTTGTTTCTGTTCTCCCTATTTCAAGAACGTTTCACACCAATACTGATAACACTTTCATCTGTCATTTTTCCTTGTCATAGATTGGATACTTCCTATTGTGGTCCCTCTAAATTCTTTCTTCCAACCCTCATGTCCCAAATCTCTGCCTCATTGTTTTGACATCAAAACCCCTTCCAAATTCAACGGTTTATATGTGGTGTTATCAACTATTTAGGAAGACAAATTGTTAGCAAAGCCTTTAAAATTCACACATGCTGGTAAAATTTCAACGGGTAAACCTTGTTTTGATGAGCTTAAAAAATTTTTTTGCATCCTTAGAACTTGGTTGCAATATTATTGGTATGTTGGACTTCAAATATATTTCGATCAAGTTACAAGAAAATGAATAATAATCATGTATATTACCTCGATATTCATATTATGTCTCATATTCCACATAAGAATAACCAAAATGACTACCACATTTCACATTTTAAGAGGAATCTCTCATTGTTCCAGCATTGATTTATTTTTCAAATATATGTGCTCATCTTATTAATCATGCAATGATTTTTCTTTCCAAGAGAGTTATTTCAAAAACCCTTGAAAGTGTATTCTAACATAGGTTTAATTAATAGAAGACCTTCTACAGTCCATAGTTTAGTTTAGGCGGGCATTTATAATATAAAAAAGAAACTTAGGTTAGCTTCGTAATTGATCAATATCCTTAGCAAACGATATTGAGAAACCCATAAGCTTTTGTACATTGCAAAATATTAAGGAATGATAATAATTATTTATTCATTCTTTGCTAGGTCTTGAAAAATAACAAGCCTCACACATAGAGTGGTTATAGGAATTCTAACATCAAGCATTAGTAACAAAGTACCAAGAAATTTGAGGATGTCCATGTAATTCAGAAGAATGTCCTAGTGGGATGGATTCTCGTGTGAATGATGGCAAAAAAAGATCACTGCTTAGCCATAATTTCAAAGATGGGAAGTGCTTTAATAGGCCATTGAAGCATCTTGACCAAAATGGTAATGGTTTAAGTGAGCAATTGGCTTAAGAATTTATCTGTTCAAAGGTTGGCTGCAATTTTAAGTTTGGCCAATAAAAATGAAAATTTAGTTCTCCGTAATGCTATTGTTTTACAAAATCAATTGAAATAGTTTGAGACAATAGTCTTGGATACTTCTAAAGAGAGAATTGGCCCTCTTTCTACTTTCGTAGATGATTCTTCTCAAATCTCATCAATTTTTATTCCTGGGTTTTGAAAAATAATCTGCTGTTTTTTCTCATTGCTTTGTGCTCACCTCATAAGGGATCTGTAGATCGGAAAGTGGTTGAAGTTGAGGGGTGATCTTAATAATGAAGGTTTTCTCAAAAATTTGTTTGACAATAATTCTCCCGAAGATAATTATGAGTATGATCATCCACTAATTGTTTATAAGAGAAAATACATGAAAGACCTTCCCATAGATGAATGTTTAGACAAGGATTGCAATGAAGATAGTTTTGAGGGATTTAAAGGGAAAGCCATGGGAAGAAAAGTTTTCCAAGGTGGCCAAATAAACTCAATCTTCCTTTAAACACAAATAATCACTTTTTTATTCTTTTGCTGATTTTGAGTTTGGATTGCTCGTCTTATTTATTGATACTATGGATGGCCCTTGCATTACTATCGGTTTCATTTCTTTTTGTGGGCCTATTATAGCTTCAAGATTGGTGTACAAGATATTTGGATAAGACATTTGACCTCATGTTAACAGTAATTTCTACTGAATAGCTTGATAGACGCGAAAAGATTATAATCCAACTCTTAACACAATTTTTTTTTCTTTTGAGCTAATGTATCAACTGTAGTTTTCATAGTCACCTTATACTCAAATGTTCAGTCTTTGACTTCAGAAGCTTTTTCTCTTAGTGAATTTACATTTAGCTTCCTAGCTATAAATAATCCCAAATGCTTTCAATGAAAATTTTACTAAATTGTCCAACTTATATAAATTGCCTTTCTCTTACCAATTATACAACTCCTGTATTCTTTTCTTATCTCTAATAAATGATATAAATTAATAAGACTCGGGCATATTCACTTTGCTTACTACACTCTTCACAAAAAAATTAGCATCACTATAATAATGAAAATCTTTTAAAATTTAACCATTTTAGATCAAATAAAATTTGGTTAAACCTCATAATTCAAATATACGTTCTGAATCTATTTTGAAAAGTAAACATATTTTAAGTTTCACCATTTTATCCTACTACAGTTCTTTTTGTTTAGTGCCTCCTTTGCACAACCAGATCATATTTCATCACGAGGACCCTATGTAACACCAAACAATCATTACCAAATTATTTTCCTTTCCTTCTAAGTTTTATAAAAACGATTTATCCAAATTTAATAGTTACACTTTTGAAAGTAATAAATGACTCTCATTTTTTAACTTGCGGGTTTACTATTGTAATACAACATGTCGTTATAACGTCAAGTATAAATTATCCTGCACATCTTTATGTCCTAATCCAAGTGCACAATGAGCCACCTCAAAGCCCCTTGACGTGTGATCCAGGTAAAATTTTTAGAAGATACATTGAATTTTAAATAAGACGCTAACACAAATTTCTCATTCATTTACGAGGACTTTAAAATCTAATTCTAAATTTCACATAAGCATAAAACTATAATTAATCACTCCTCCCGATTAAGAGAGAAAATTTTCAATTAAAAGTTAAAACTACTTTGCACCACCCAACGGAATATTATATAACGATGATGGATTTTTGTTTAAGAGGACAATAGTAAGTTGACCTTAGCTCACATATAGTTTCAGGTTCTATCAAAAGCACTCCATAATTCATCATTTAGAGGATTTGGGCCATTGAGAAATTTATGGGCTCTAATTGTGACCATAATTTAAAAATGACATTTTGCAGCAAATCACCCAGTTATATTCATTCTTTTCGTAGTAGCATTTGTCAAAAAAATCATCGAGCCGGAAGACACGTGCAACATCTTCACCGTCAAAATATTTATCAAAGTGATCATGGGGTTACACATGATAATATAACATTGACTCTTAGTAAACAAATGTCATCCTAAACTTGTCATTCTCAATCCTCATCAAATTTTTGTAAACGATGGATGGATGGATTTTTAATCTTAGGCCTTAAAATTGAAAATTTTTTGAGATTTTTAAATTTTTGTTTAAAGAATTTACTTAAAGGTTTAAAGGTACTTCGGAGATAGAATCTCCACTTGTTAAGATTTTAACATCATCGAGGTATTTTGAATTATTAAATTTTATTTATTGAACTCTTTCAACTCACATTACTTGCTCGCGGAGGATTGGATTTGTAGCTTCCACATGATTTGAGTTTATTTAGGATATTCTTTATACTGTAAACCTTATTGACTATACCTCAAATTAAAAGAACCGAGTCTAAGAGTTACAACTTATGATTTTACAGTTAGCATAGTAATTGCATTTTCTTAAAAATAAATTTTCTTTGTTCAAGGCATTGAAAAGTGTATGTTAACATAAAACAAAAATAATTTGGTGAAGTCTATAAGTATTCGGCTCCCAGTCGATAATGATTCTAACTAGATTGAGAGTACTAATTAAAATCATTATCCATTACAATTTTCCTGAAATTTATTATACGAATGTTGCCAAAAAAAATAT